GAGGCAAAAGGGCATCTGGCGACCTTATTCCCTGGACGATATCGCAGCAATTTAATGATCACGATTTTGCGGGTCTTTCTGGAGGAAGAATTGTCAGAATCGCTACCCATCCTGACTTTCAAGGGGTATGAAAGATTCTTTTACATTTATTTATTATTTTATTTATTTATTTATTTATTTATTTATTTTTTAGTTTGTATCTTGCCTAAGTATGGGCAGATCTAGGATTTTTTAATGATTTATTTATTTATTTTTTTTTAGTTTGTATCTTGCCTAAGCAGGGGCAGATCTAGGATTTTTTAATGATTTTTATAATGATTTTTGATGCAGAAAACAAATTATTTTTGGTGTAGAAAAAAAATTATTTTTGACGCGGAAATCAAACTATTTTTTACCCAATGGCCTACATAAGCTTTAATATAGAATAGTAGAATTATCTCCATCTCAAAAGGTAGCAATTTGAGTTGCACGATCTTTATAGTAACCATTGTGAACCTGCTTATTTTCTTTTTTGAAATAGATGGGTTATGGTCGACGGGCCATGAATCTTCTTATTCAGTATTACGAGGGAAAGATTCCCAGTTTAGCTGAAGAACGCAAAGAAGATGGACAAATCTCAACTCTGACTGGAGATGAGGTAAAATGAAAAGTGCATCAATATCATCGTGAAAGTTTGAAGGTGCATTTGAAAAAGATCGTGGCCCAAAAGGTCAACCTTTTCATTGGCCAGTTTTTGACTGAGGGGAAAATAATAACAAGTACTTAGTTCAATTGTTCTGTTTTTTACTAATTTGTAGTTCACATTTGAAATTTGTAAACGTAATGTATGGAGGAAGAGAATAATAGTGAGGAAATAATACACTTTCAGTACAGTAACGTTCTTTACTTTGTTCAGCAGGTTGAAGATCCGCTTTCTGTTTGTCTCAGAAAAAGTGCATGTGTCGTACAAAAGCTATCTATGACTTTCGTGAAGCCTATTCAATAAAAATTTTATATTTGTTCATAACCTCTTCGCTTCTCAGTCAAGCGATCTTTTTAAGCATTGTTTCTGAGGGCGACTTTTCGACTGAGTGTCTTAAGACCAAAGCCAAATTAAAACGGCCAATCAGAAGAAGGGAAAATACCCAAGGAAGCCATTGAGAACTTGAAATGAACATAAAGCCAAAAGCGCGGGAAACTGCCAGCGATGGTTTTCATCTGATTGTTCGAGAGGATGGCGCGAAATCTTTGATCCAGCACAAAGTGACGAAAGCAAAATCATTGCAATCCTAGATTCCTTGTGACACTCAATTGAAAATTGTGCCATTCAGAAGTTAACTTTCGATATACTAATTCCTTAAAGGATTGGGCTGCAGTGCAAGTCTTATTGGGACGAGTAATAGCAAGCTCGCGATCGTTTATTCAGCCGGCCATGATTGATTGAAGTGGACAGTGGGGAGAGGGGCAAAGAAATTCATGTGCCCCCAACCCCTCCCCTCTCCTTCCTTTTTACTATCGTTCACCCCTTTTGTTGAAATTTATTTCTCTCCCCAGTTTTCCGTGGCTGTAAATTCAAAAATGGCAGCTATAATTTTCACCATGAAAATACTGAGCACTTAGGTGCCAAAATTACGCCTACCCTGCAGGTTGTTAAAGGGTTTGTTACGGCAGTTCTAACTGACGTAAATTCAAAATGTTCATTTATTTCATAGGATGTTGGCCTACTACAGGAGGTGATAACTCCTCGCAGTAATCTACCGCCTCTTTTGTTAAAACTCAGTGAAAGACCAGCCGAACAACTGGATTATTTGGGCGTATCCTACGGCTTGACAACTCAACTCTTAAGGTACTGAGAAAATTATTTCTTTCATCGAAAAATATACAGTCGAAACTCCTTACAGGACCCTCCTTCGTAATTGTGCTCTTTCCCTCAAAACTTTAACCTAATTTTGGGACCTATCATTATTTATCGCCAAGGGAAGACGGAGGGTTTTGTGTGTGTCACGATGAAATTTACCAGATTTCCCCCCCCCCCCCCACCCCCCTTCCTTAAAGTACCGTATTATTCCAATGATCCCCCTCATTGGCAATCAATTGTTTTTGGTCCCCCTGTTGTTATGTTGGTGTGGACAGACTGATCCCCCGTCCGTTGACCCCTGAAAACCATGTGACCATGTGATCTCCAAGAAAACCTTCACGTCCTTCCTCCCTTTCCTCCCTTTGCGATACCGGTGCAAAGCTTCAGTATCGCAGAGGTCATGGGTTCAAATCCCGTACGGGCCTGAACTTTTCAGGTCTTATTTCAACTGCTAGTTCAGTTGTGTTCATAACTGCGAGGATCGCTTATACCAGATAGGAAGATGTTTCTGATTTTACACATGTCCTTGCTAGAACAGAATGTTTAATAGCCTATTAAGACACAGCACAATTTCTTTTTGCGAGATTTCGGTAAGTTTTTTTCATAGAAAAAAATACAATTTTTTATGATTGTTTTTCATTTTATATCTGTTAGATTTTGGAAGAAATCCGACTTTGGTCCTGTGTACCTACGCCAGACGCCGGTAAGGAATTTAAAGCATTTTTTATCTTTCCATCGTAGTATTGTCTCAATTTTCTTCGTAGTTTTTTTCATTTTCTGAACGAAATTCTGTGGCAGGATATGAATAAATACTGAGTTAGCAGGAATATTGGTCAACTCTGATGCTTTGTTCAGTCTGCAATGCAAACTATTTGTTGTGAAAAGACCGGCTAGCGGTCATTTTATTTATTTATTTTGGTTGTTGTTCTCTCAACTTAGCACTTGCATATGACTGTACTACTACAAAAGAGACGGTAGCCTTTGACAAGCCCTCACTTTAGATCTGCAGAACGCGCGTTTCTCTGCCCGCGGGAAGATTTGAGACGAGTCGGGTTGAGGTTTGCCGGGGATCTGGCACTAATGATAAGTTCCCTCCCCCTCCCCTAGACTTTGCAAGTTTAGTACTTTCCAGAGTGTTTTTTTTTCTGACAGGAATAGTCCCTGTTTACTTTCTAGAATGATTTGACTGGCGAACACTCTTGTATAATGTTAAGACGACTCTCCGATCGAGAAGAAAACTCTGATGACAACTGGCTGCAAGCCTACATGACTGGTGAGTGGTAAAGTCCTATAGGACGCGAAGAATTCAGTTTTTATTGAGAGTTTTTTTCGTCTTCCAGCTTTCCAACGCTAGATATGCGAAAGACAACTCCAAAAGCTTATGAAGAGGTTTCAATAAAAGCCGATAACCAGCGGTCTACCGCCATCTGTAAGACCTCTCACCGCCGTCTGTTGAGCCTGCGCTCAACAGGCACAGCCGCCTATTACACCATCGACAGCCGTTTATGGCAAAATATTGTTGACTCGCAAACCCCCAGATTAATTTTTAGATGGGTGTGGCTTAGTTTGCAAAGATTTCAGGGGGCATATGGAGCAATGGTGTTAAAACATGAGAGAAAATTATTACCATTGGTAGAATTTTGTGAAAATTACTCGCCGCGCAAACTGACAGATTTGCGCTTTGCAAAATTTTGTACCACGTTAAAAACAGGGTAAAATCTGGCATTTACCCTTTAACCCCTACGAGTGACTTTCTCCTTACAATATCGTCACTGAATCACACATTAATGTCATGAGAATGAAGGAAATGAACATCAACAGAAATTCTTGATTGTTAAACAAATTCTCCTTGTCAGCACCTTATTAAATGTACAGAGAACAGAATGGAGAATATGAATACTGTTGTTGGGGTGTAAAGGGTTAAGATATCGTGAAATGTGACGCTTCATACTTTTGAAAGGTGAAATACAAACGTAAGGTAAAGTTATCTTTACTCATTTGGCAATCGGTGTTTCTTTATATTCTCAGATTTCCGCCGGCGTTTTTTGTCCCTCCTTTCCTATCAGTTTCGCAACTTTAGACCATCTCTAGCGCTGAGTATTCTAAACAACAAGAGTTACAAAGGAATTAAAGGCTCAGGTAGGTAAATTTACAATTAGATTATGACCTCGTGATTTATATCGCGTAGTAGTTGATGACGGCGAATCGCGCATCGACCATCGCGCGTAGAAATTGAGAGCGAATTGTCTTTTTTTGGGGTGTAATTTGCTTTTTGTTTAAAACGTATTAGTAAGACAGGCTTAGACAGATTATTTTATAATCGCGATACAATTAAGATACGCTTCATGCCACTCGGTGAACTCTATCACTGAACAGAGAACGAGTAGTGGTAATGTAGCTGATATTTTCTAACTTCTCATTGATTACCTTTCCGCTTGAAAATATATAGAAATTGCGAGAAGTTCATTTTTGGTTACTCCGGGAGGTGAATAGATCAAGTGACCAAATGGTACGAGAAAACCAGAAGGTCCATCTTAAAAGTTCGCTTCTTCTCACACTGAAATCGATACTCCTTCATGAAACTTCTACCACTTAGCAGTAGAGCTAAAACATCAGCAGTGCAGCTTTTCTAGTCCACCATGATAGCTTGCCTTCTTTAAATCGTCTCAAGTATTGTTTTCATTGCTCCTTAGGTTTAACAAAAGGTGAGCTAGAAGCTGTTCTTACAACTTACGATATCAAGCGATTGGAACTTTATTCGCGGAATATGGTGGATTATCATCTGATCACGGATTTGCTTCCAGCTGGTGAGAAACTTGAAATGATTTCTTATCTTTAAAACAAGATTTGGAAATTTGAATGGCCTTTTATTTACAAGTCAGTCTTGAAAACGGAAATAATTTCCCTTTTTTTAGGAGCCCTTCCTAAGTTTCAGAAGTCAGTTCTTCGCGAATTATATTCTTGGAACTGAAGGAATTTACTAAAGGCAGAATTAAGGCTACAGAAACGGTGGAGTTATCAGAGCAAAATAGCCCCCCACTCCATTCCCTCTCCGTCTTTTGCGAGACCAAGATGGGGGGAGGGGAGTGTCATACTCCTTCGCAAGACCCTCTTCCTCTTATAATACCTCACTTTACTCGGGATTGTAAACTGCAAGGAAAATCTTGTGAAATAACCAAAGTAAATTGAATTAGAAAAACGGTGCCTATAATGACATGATATCGCTTTTGTCGCACAGTCTCCAGGTTATTTTTCCTTCAGAAAATGGACTTCGATCTTTCTGCAGTGCAATCGGTAAGTTTGAAGAGCATACTCCGTTATCGTATAATCTTGGGAAGTTTTCTTAGCGCCTCAAGGACTACCAACATTTGGAAGCAGACTGAGATTAGAGAAATGTATAAAGGGGGTACGTTTCTGAAGAAACTGTGGTGCTGTGTCGCTGGAGGGCATTTCAAGATAATTTTGTTTATCAACTGAGTTCATATTATAAAGTGGCCTCCGTAAAGAATTTTATAGCTGACGTCGGAGGTACCATGAGCTCATTGATAGCGTTGCTCCATCGTTCTCTATATAAACCACATACAACCCAGAATTTCCCTATTCGCTCTGACAAAGGACTAACGGTCGAAACGTCAGCTTTCAAACTCTGTACGGCGACCAATTTACATTTTTAGCTAAGTTGATAAAACCAAAGTATCTTTGATTACAGAACATTAACAACGGAGTACATTTAAGAGGTTGAAATTTCAAGTTAGTGTGCACGCATGGCTTAGTTCGATAACTAATAGTGTACGCGCTCTTTTTTCCATCAGGCGATTCTTCTCGGACTTGGACTACAACACAAGACCATAGAGGCCCTTGAGGTATATGTTCGTCGTTAAAACTTAAATACATATCCTTATATATTTAATAGCATAGATATCACAAAATATAGTGGTTGTTATGTTTGTTTCTTTGTCTTTTCAGAAAGAATTAGAGCTACCATCATCTCAGTTACTGGGATTGTTCAACAGAACTATGAGAAAAGTTGTTCAGGTAAAACTCTAAGAACTCTACCCTCTTTTAAACCGTAGTAAAGTATGCTAAAATAGAAATTAGTGAAGCTTTTTAGACATCGATGTCGATGTAGGGTGCAAAGCCTTTTCACGGCAGTTCTATCGCTGGAAAAAAGAACTTAAGTTTAAACCTCTGCTCTTAAAGAATTTTCTTAAAGAAAACTTTGTCAAGATGTCAAGAGTTGCGTGAGGAACAGAAAACTTAACGAATAGATTCCATTTTTACCGTGTGTCTGTTCAGTAATAGATCACAGATGACGGACGTCAAAAAGTGGTAAGAACAATTAAGGGGCGCACGGGGCACAGCTTAGTGTGTCACATATGGTCTTGTTGGATTTTGCCTTCTTCTTTGATCTATTACTGAACAAGCCCACGGCGACTTGGAATCCATTTGTTTTATCAGAAGCTTATAAGCTGCTGGTTTTAATGATATAATCCTAAAGACCACGAGCAAGAAGCAAAAAGTGTGCGTGATTCAGATTATCATTTAAAATACGACGGTCTTCTGTTACTTTGAGGTTTTATTTCCACGTTTTTTTCTTTTCTCTTTACAGTGTTTTAGCTCTGTTCTCGAGTCATCCTTCGATAGTCAAGTCACCAAAGAAAGAGAAGTGGCTATGGAGCCGTTAGCTCAAGGACTTCAAGAGGATTTGGTTAGCTTTCTGCTTCATCGTATTACTACCTGTTACCCACAAAACTCCAGTCATAAGCTCCGTCTCTTTTCCTTTGCTTCAGTGACCGTCAAGATCTAAATATCAATTACCTGCTCTGTTTGCTCTATATCTTACACTGTTACCTCTCTCTTTCTCGGTGCTAAGCAAATCCTTTAGTTAATTGACAGTTTTCTTTCTTCCTTTTACCTTTCTGCTTGATAAATTTAGCAATAATTTTGGGAGAAATTTTTTCCACGAGTTACTCTCGGGTTGAAAGGATCAAAACTTCAATCTGTGTCTTATATAGTGTGGGTGTGATTCAAAGAACGGAGGCATGCCAAAGGCTAGGTCGCCATATTATTCACGGGGCGTTACGAAAACTTCTTTTTCAAAATTTAACTAATATTCATGAATTAATATCTTGTTGACAACTTTCAGGAGGAGGCAGCGAAGGAATTGAAAGAAAAGCAAAAGAAAGAACTGGAAAAACTGAAGAACATTGATCTCAGCGAGTAAGTTATTTCCTGTCTGTTTTCAGACAGTTCCGCACGATTTCGGACACTTTCATCCGAATTCGGACGGTTCCGATCGAATTTCTGACGGTTCCGACTGACTTCGGACTACTGCGTCCATTTTCATACCGTAGCGTCCGTTTCCAGACGGTACCGTCTGATTTGGGACAGCTGCATCCGTTTTCGTTCCGGGTTCTCTCTGATTCAGACACTTGCGTCCCTTTCACTGTCTGTGTAATTTTACCTGTTTATTCACAGTTGATTTATTTATTGTGCTCTTAATTAGGTTTGCAATATCAGGAAAAGATGATGAATGGAACACGGCTCTAAGTAACAATAAGAACGTCACCAGTGTGATTAGCGTTGCAAGCACAAAGCGGAAGACACAGGTGAATTGAAGTTAAACGTTTTACGCTGTTTCTCTTTTCCACTAACTGTTCTTCGTGAGTGTAATCTACGTATAAATTCTCATTGCTTTTCCCTTTCCTCTCGTCCCTGCATTTCTTTCCTTTTTTACATCTCCTTTTTTACTTTAGTTTCTGTCTTCTTTTCCTACTTCATCGTTTGCCTCTCAACTGCTCTTTCAATTTCCCAGATTTCTATTCCACACTACTTCTTGTTTCTTGACTGATTTTTTCTTCTTCTCTTCCCCATTGTCGCTTAGTCTTCGCATTTCCTCTTGTCGTCTTCGTCGTTCTATAACGTCTCTCTGCTTTTCTCCATTCTGGATCCTGATAACACAGCTTATTGACTGCCTTATTGAGTAGCCTTTACTTATAACTTCCAATAAGATGTCTTGTCTCGTCACTTAAATGATGTGTTTTCTCTTCAGCCTTCCAATGATCAAAGCAAATCACATAAGAAACGCAAGAAGTCCAAACAGAAGCACCACACTGGTTGAATCTGCTGTCAAGTTATTAAGCATGTCAAGCAGTCTAGAAGACTGAGGATATGCCAATTATTGTCGCTACTTGTTTGATAAACGTCAGCCTCTACAAGGATTCGGCTAACACTGAACAGCAACGGCAAGATGACGGCAACTTTAGAATTCATTGACCTGTCGTTAATTCTCATCCAAAATAACGAACAAAATGAATATCAGAAGCGTTATTGTCTGCTCTCTGAACAGGGGGGAACAATTGCTAAAAGGCCGTAAAGTGCAAAAATTTCGTGCACTAAAGGACCATGGCGGGCTTTACAATAAAGGACAGAACGTATGCGCTCACGCCAACAGGAATTTCCGAGTGTCAACGCATGCGTAACGCTTACGTTAATGAAGGGTGCAAAAAGCTCTTTAACTCTCTGAGAGCTAAGCGCAAAGCTTATTGTAACGGTGTTATCATGGTTACAAGTTATATCAGGTGGTACGCGCGATTCATGACTTGATGGTGGAAACGATGAATTGACCGCCATCTCCAATCAAGAAGACCCAATTTTCGAGCGTTAGTTCTTCGTAAGCGAGAACGTTGTTCTGACACTTAATTTGGCGAGATTCTGTACGTTTATAGGGAGAGTATTTTTACTTGACCCACTGCCGCACACTTTTTGTTTTGTTACTTAAATGCTTTACATTAAAAAAAAGTAAATAAAGCAATTTTCTGTTAAGTGTCGTAAGAAATCCGGAATTGCTTAGATTCTGCTTTACTTCGTTGTGTTACTCTTCTAACCAATCATATTCAGTCAAACTTAAGCCAATCACCACTTGGTCAATGGCGTTCTCCCGCGATTCAGGCACTGAGTTTGCTTGGCTCCTCGCTGGCTGTTGTGGTTTTACGACACTCAAAGGAATTCAAAGCACTCTAGATACCAATTCCACGTTGATAGATGTAACAATTAGAAATGTTTCACAGCCCATCCAATGTATCACATCAGTTTTATTAGAATCCGACGAAACGTTTAACTAACTAAGCGCCTTACTCAGAGTTCCTTTAACCTCATAGAGGTGTGTAGAAAAAGAAGTGTGTGTATATAAGAAAAAAAGGGCGATAAACTCAAATTTCCCAGCGACTTAATACGACGTTTCAATCCTCTGCTCAAAGAAAGAAAACGTGAGTAAAAACTGACAAAAACTGAGCTAAAACTGAGCCGCCATTCGAAGGTGACTTCACCGATTCAATTTATGCACGAACCAATTAGATATGTCATAGGATAATCAGAAGATACACCCTGGCCATCCCATTTACATGTTTACTGCTTAATTAAATTGTTATTATTTTCCCCAGCTGGTAGATTTGTTTGCAATGCTTGTCGGATACACCTTTACCGTTAAAAATACACAAAAGGCTATTTGGAAATGAATTCGGTTATCAGACTGTTAAGGGATTCGTTGTTTTGTTATATGTGTAGCACCATAGTGCATCTATTCTCTCGTTCGCTACTCCGCTATAAGATCTTGAAATCAGCTCATCAATAAAGCCAGCAGATTAAATGGACTGTGAACCTGGCAAAGTGTATTCGACATATGGAACAAATCATATTAACCAGCCTAAGAGGGTTCGCTGGGCCAGTGACCTGGAAGAAATTGTCTACTATTTTCCCTACGGCTCAGGTTACGAAGTAACCGAATTAAAGACAGTTAAATATACAGACTCAGTGCTAAAGAACGTTGAGACGAAAGTGGACGCTTCGAAAACCAAGCGACTTCAACAGTCTCTGGTGGCGACTATTCGCCAGTCGAAATTTTCTCAGAAGATGCAGAAAAAAGTGGGCTGGTTTGCGGAGAAAGTTCTTGGTCCTAGCGGTGAGGTTGATTTTGAACTCTTCAAAGAATTGTGTAAGCACCGGGAGGACTTGGCCTCTGAGAAGAGGACTGCAATACAATACTGGTAATCTTCACTACAGATAGGGCGGTGTACAAAAAACGATTCCTTTTCTTAAAAACTTAACAAATTAGCCTAGCAGTGTTGTTTTGAGACGTGTACTTGAATTGGATGACAAAAAAAATGAGTATCAAAATGTAACGTCAAAAAGACCTTTTAATGATGAAGTGTTCTATTTGAGAGTATGTTCAAAATCTTAGTCTTAGTCTACAAAGCCGAAAACGGTTTCCACAGTTTTATTTTATTTCTATCTGGCGAAACTGTTCTGAAGTTTCCAAACAGGACGGATGGTTTCCACTTGCAAAAATATTTTTTAAAAACACTAGGGAAATATTTATCTCTCATCCTCACTATCACAAGGGAACATTTTTTTTTTGGTTAAATGGTCCCTAAGCATATGAACAAGACTTGCCTGTTGGTTGAGGAAAAATTAAATTTTTTTTTCAACCTAGTTTTATGTGAATTATTTTTTTTCCTGTGTCAGTTCTGTTTTACATCAAATCGATATTTCACGCTAAACAAAGCATTCATGGGACTTCAGGTGCAGGATTGGTCTGACTCTGGCTCCACAAACAGTTTCCTAAATTTTCTCCGTTTGTCACTAGCTTCCTTCCGGTTCGATTTTCTCCCTGTGTTTTTATTCACCGTTACCTATTTATACACTGAATTGATTCAAGTTTCATGTACCTAGCACATTAAAACTAGTTCGGTAGCCCCCCGTTTCGTCATTCAAATGACAGCGCAGCAGATTAAAATTCATCTTTTTGCAAATTTTTTAAAGATTTGTATCAGTGTTGTTATTTTTAGAGCCAGCCTGATTGTTGAGAAATTAAGGTTGCGTTGTCACCTCTATACAGAATGCTCTTTAAAGGCCAAACAAAAGAAAAACGTGCAAAACAAAGCAGGAAAAAAGAAAAGAAAAATCCTAAAAAATCAAAGCAACCCAGGATGCCTCGTTGAGAATATCGGAGATCAACGTGCATCGCCCTGGCGAGTAAACAAACCACAATAACAGTGTATTAGAGTTATAAACACAAATATTTTCATTTGACTTGCGTCTGTGCTCGCCCTGGATCTGTTTGCGAAAAATGAGTTAACCTACTTTTTTTTAATTATATTAGATGTGAACGGACTCTCATTATTGAAGACACACATAGACAAATTACTGAATGATCTTCTGAATCTGGAAACGGATATAGGGCTTGAATCCCAACTACATTTACTGTTTCTTTTCATTTTCGAACGACTTAACTTCGGCAGTAAGGCAGGCCCGTCTGGCCTTGTGGTGACTTTTGTTGTGCTCACGTTTCTTCCGCGAAAAAGGAAACGCAAAAGTCTCCCACGGGGACTTTAAAAACGTGTCTTTGAAAACGAGCAAGGTGCACTTTTTCAAACTGCACGTGTAAGCTGTAGAGACAATATGTTGTTGTTCCCTGAGGATCATACATTCCTCTTAAGCGCCTTTTGAAATTAACCCGAAGCCATAACTACGATAATTTGAAATGCTGAAATAAGCTTTCGATTGATAAATAATTGAGATTTTTAGGCCTTGAAGGAAAATTGCCGTCAAATTAAAATAACAATGGTGTTGTTTTGATCGAGATTATTCGAAAAAAGAAAAAAAGCATGACTCTATCAGCTTTTTGCTCTCGAATTTTGTTTTGATCGTTATGTTAAATAAATATTGTTAACAAATCGGCTCTTTACCCTTGGCTGTAAAATGAAAAACTTATTTTGTTTTTGTCTCAATTCGATCTAAAAATGATTTAAAAAAATTCCTAATATGCTTTTTTCCTCCTTGTTGGTCTCGGAAAGTTTGAGTGCTAATGAAAAATTGAGAAAGTTAAGCAGATTTTGAAATTGTATCAACGGAGACCATTAAAATTTTATGGTGAACGAAGTTTGACTTTTCCATTAGTAAAAATCGATTGAGACACATAACAAGTTGATTTAACGATCAACTGTTTAAGCTCTCAATTAGTGCTGATCGCTGCCAGCATATTTCAGGGCGTTTTTCTTGTTATTAATCACACTCGACTGTCAGTGATAAAAACTTATTTTTCAAAAATTGACTTTCTTATCTATATCAAGGGAGCATTAGCCAATTTCTATCGTTATATGATCAATATTTCTACGCATTGCTCAAACAAACAACAGTTTTTTCTTTCTTTATTCTCTCTTTCTCTCTGAATTTTTTCAATATTATTTTTAATTTTGTTTGCTCACCAGAATCTAGACCATACACAAAGGCGGCAATCGGTTACCCGGGGTACGTTGTTTTTCCAAAAGCAGAACGCCTGCATTGACATAAAGAAATCCTTTCTTTCAAGATATCTTTCGGAGACGTTGTTATAAAGCCAAAAAATGGATCACAAAGAGCTCGGAATGGGTCATCTCGCTTGATTAAAGGATGTCGGCCAACAAGCTGTACGGTCAATTATAATTTTCCTTACTTTCCCAACGTCAATCGGAAAAAAATGACCCTTATCAACCCGCACTCTTTATTGAAAGTAAATCGATTGTTTTGCGCCGATATTGTTTCGATAATGGAAACATTTCGTTCTTCGTGAATGCTTAATTCATGACAGCCGGTGTTTTTTTGCAGGTGATTCTTCCACAATTTTGGAGAGAGAAAGAGGCATTTGAGGTCGAGTTGCACAAGAAATGACCAGAATTTAACCACTTCATAAATTTAATTTATGATGGTGTATGCATGACAACTCGAGCTGTTTCAGTTCAATCCGTCAAACTGTTTCAATGCTTTCGTAATCATCCTTTCAATCTAGCATAAATTTTTAGAGTATTTTCTTCGACTCAGTCGTCGTCTTTTCTTTCCAAGTGAAGTGAAGTGAAGGTTTAGGCTTTTTTTTATCATTTTTTTTTTAAACTTCGAGCGTTTATCCCTTGAGAGTGTCACTTTTAGTCAGGGAAAGAACCTACTATATGTAAGAGTTGAAGAAGCGGAAACCACGTTAAATTTTTAATTATGATTACCAAAGCATAACAGCTGTGTGATGAAGCCCAGGAAAACGTATCCATTTCGGTCGCTTATGATTACGTACACCACATCTTACCAACTCATTTCTGCGATTTCTGAAATTTCTGACTTGGAAAATTCTGTTTTCGTTTCAGAGACTAGCTGGACAAAGACCCTTGATGGATTTTTTAATCCTAACAGAGTTTGAAATCTTGAAATTAAGAAAGAAGACACATGTATTTGCAATTGGAGATCATGACCGGACAAAATTAGTGTTATGGTAATGTGCCATTACAATTGTTCCACATCGCGTTGTAATAAACCACAGGCTGTCCGACTTAACATCAGAACGACTCCGCTCATTAATTTTCAGACAAAGGTCACAGTATAACGAAGCGAAGATGAAGTGATCAGAATTAAAACAACTACAAACAAAGCTTGTCAATAACAAAACTCAAAATCCTTCTTAAAATGAAATGACATTTACGATGGAAATGAGATTTCGCCATGGTTTCGTTTCCTGTTTAAACAGTTAGATACAGCCAGGCTATGAATCTTCATTTCCAGCCTTAAGCGGCAGAGATAATTTATATTATTTTTAACAACCCAGTTAGTAGCTCTACAAATACAAAAGTGATAAAGTTATACGATTTCGTGTGTTTGAATGAACCATTAAACCATTGTACAGCTTTGAGAAGAACCTCTCACTGATTTGGGTCTAAAATGTAAAGGCGTTCGAGCTCACTCCTCTTTGAACATCGAAACACTCTTGAGCAGACGAAATGTCATAGCCTAGCATTCTGTTCCAT